TCAGCATTCCAAACTCCGAAGGCACCTGGCCGACGAGTTGGTTGTTGCCCAAGCTCAGATTGTAGAGAAGGGTTAAGCTGCCGAAGCTCTTTGGGATCTCTCCTTGTAGGTAGTTGGAAGAGAGGTCCAGATCTTGCAGTTTCGTCAACTGCCCAAACTCGGTGGGTATGACTCCGGTGATGTTGTTGTTTGAGATTCTCAGTCGCGTCAGATTGTGCCATTTTGCCCAGTCTAGTGAGAGTGTACCGGAGAGTAGATTGAATCTCAAATCCATATAATAAAGATGGGGATACACTCCAAGACATTGAGATACATCTCCGGTGAGTTGGTTGTATTCAAGACGGACCCTTTTTAGTGTCGTACAATTTTTCAAGGTCGTGGGAATGGGACCTTGGAAGTTGTTCATGCTAAGAATGAGGTATTGTAGGACTCCACTTTTGCATATGTCTGGGGGTAAATAACCAACGAAGTTATTATTTGACAGCACTAGGTAAGTCAGTCCAGTAATGTTGTTGATCTCCGTAGGCAAAGGTCCAGACAACTGATTATCTAATAAACCTAGTTTTCTAAGTTTGGTCATGTTTCCTATAAAAGAAGGGATGGGACCAGACAATAGGTTTTTTAAGAGTGCCAGATCAGTAACTTCAATTAGATTCCAAATCTCAAGAGGAATAAAACCAGATAATTGATTATCCTGAAGGTAAAGAATATTTAATTTGATCATATTTCCTATAGAGGAAGGAATGAGACCAGTTAAAAGGTTTTTTGAGAGTGAGAGATCAGTAACTTCAATTAGATTTCCAATCTCAAGAGGAATAAAACCTGACAGTTGATTACCACAAAGGTATAGACTCTCTAATTTGGTCATGTTTACTATAGAGGAAGGAATTGAATTGGTTAATAGGTTTTCAAAGAAATCAAGATCGGTAATCTCAATAAGGTTTCCAATCTCAAAAGGGATAGGACCTGATAGCTTATTTCTCCATAGCGAAAATAATTGTAGCTTACTTAGGTTTCCAAAAGAAGAGAGAACTTCACCTGTTAGAGTATTATCGGCGATTGATAGGTAAACGAGATTAACTAGATTTTTCAATTCTCGAGGGATGACTCCAGTCAATTGATTTTGGTAGAGATCCAAGTGGTAGAGCTTTGTTAAATTTCCTAAACTAGATGGGATTGATCCAGAGAGCCTATTGACTCCAATATCCACATACATCAATTCGTGGAGCCTCCCTAACTCCTTAGGAATGACACCCACAAGCTTATTATCCTCCAAGTGCAAGGACACAAGGCCGATGAGGTTGCTAAGAAATGGAGGTATAGCACCAACTATTTGATTCTGGCTAAGACTCAAGAATCGAAGCTCTTTCATGGAGCCCATTCCAACCGAGATTTTGCTTGTGAACTGATTGCTAGTGAGATCAAGAGATACGAGCCTGGAGAGAGCCGAGATGGTCGAAGGAATTGCCCCACCAAGCTGATTGTAAGAGAGATTGAGACGGAGGAGCGATCCCAATGCAGAGAAATCAAGAGCATCAAGTGGCCCTGCCAAGCCCATTCTGGGCAGGGATATCTCGGTGATCACCGAACGCCCTCTACCTGTGATGGGGTAATTGCATGTAACTCCGGTCCAATTGCACGGATTAGAATTGAGATTCCAAGATCTCAAGGATCGAGGACTCCTAAGAGTGGCTTTCCAGTGGAGCAACGCCCTCGCTTGGGATCCGAGTGAAGCTTTGACAAGAAAAGCACGGGGAAGCAAGAGCAGGAGCAGCAGCAAAGTGGCACAAAGCAAAGTTTTGTGAAGCTGAGATGCCATACAGCAAGACAAGAAGGCAAATATGAGTTTTTCTGTTGCATGATCGTTGAGCAAAGAGATAAGGTATTTATTAGGGGATACACATCAATGAGTGCATCTCAATATTATTGACCAATTCTCTCACTGCATGGGTCGGTCATCAGAATTCAACAACTATGACTCAAAAGTCCATTGGTCATGACATCTAGTGGTATACATGCCGCTTAGACTTTTTCTCTGCTACCATTTTTTGTCTTTGGCATGCAAATTATTTTCTTTTGTACTCTTATTAAACTAATCTTACAGCGATGTCATAAGTTTACCGAAAAGTCTACGAGACAAGAGATGATGTGGTGATTACTATGCCGTGTAATGTATGGTATCGTACTATCTACTAAAATAGAAAGATATAGATGGAGAGATCAATCGTATGATGGATCTCAAGTAGTGTTAGATGTGCCACTCTTTCCACATTAATTCTCTTTAGAGTAACTTTCTTTTTCATTGTTGTAAAACATAAAACATTGCTATATTATCAATCAAGAGAATATGCAAGAGAGGAAAAAATATATTTTAGAC